GTCTCAAAAAGACCTACCTGAAAATACACGTGTCAACGGTACCTTTGACCCCAATTACAGTACATTTAAATTCATTCAGGTATATGGTTCACGCCATTGAACAGTTTAACAATAATTGTCCGAGATTTTACAATAAGACTTATTTTCAAAGTCCACACTCGCATAGTGGATGCTATATAATTATTATAAGTAAATACTTGTTTAAGAGTACAGCAACATTCACGACCTAGGGTCGTGCTTTCATGATATTTACACGAATAACAAGCTTTAGGGCGATGTTTATTAATTTGAATTATTGCGATGTTCTGTAGGTAGATTCACATTGTTATACCATCTTTATAATGAACTCTAACTTATCATCCTACTTGAAACAACCCGTGCCATTAATGGAATAAAGCCCTCGTTTATGATTAAATCCAGGATTCGTTCTCAAGTTCAATTCAAACTTTTATCGAGACCATAAATCATGTTCCATTGCACATTAGCACCGTTTTCTGGCCATTATTTTCATTTCATATTTCGCCCATCACATGGGATCATGTGATAAAAGCCGATAATGAACGGACAAATAGAAGGTTTATTATATTTCAATCTTCAAAGGAAATTGAGGCAATAAAGCCTAATGCATTTCGATAAAATTTAAGTAGTATGTCTATTTGCCCGTGAAACTGCCAATAAATCGACAGGTTATGTTTGATCTTAAAAATGTATCTACACTGGATGTATATGGTTCTCATCGGGTAATTAATTATAAGACCTTACCCCTGTAGCTGTAACCCATTTCATTTTGGGGGGTTCTTTCACTTTTAACTCCGTGCTGGAATTAAGATCATGTTTCGTATAGAGATTTTGTTCCATTAGGCAATCTGTGCTAATGGTTCTATACTAAAATTAACGTTATATGGTGTCATTTTGGGGGATTGTTTAACTTATTTGTTCTATGCTTTAATCAAGATCATGTTTCATATGAAGATTTTGCTTCATTGGGTAATTTGTTCTAAATGTGCGATACCGATTTAATGCTCGGTTATATGATGTCAAAATACTCCGTCATGTAATGAACCTCCCCTAGCTATCACTCCTACGAATTTCAGTATTTGTTTCGATGATTTTATTTCTCTTGTGATTGAGTGAGTGTGGCCCTGGCCCACAGAGGAATGGTCACCAATCCTTCAATAGGTACTGCTGGTTGTGTGTGTGAAATGGCTTTATTTAATGTCCGCTTCCACAGGGGTGATATCGCAGAAATAACTGCTGGTTCTTTTGATAATCATGTTTATAGTATGCTGTATAGCGGCGGACCAGAGAACCCACGACTTGTGAACCCTCTTCTCCTCACTATCCAGAGGGTCCGGGTTCGTTGGCCGAGCATGTTCCTTAGAATTCTTAATTGGTCCAGAACGGACAACCTGGTAAGAACAGGTGCTGAGACGAAAAACTCTAGGAGCCTTGTATACCATCGACCACACGTTAAAAACATCCCGTGGGAATTGAAACAAGAGTGGACGATGGCGCCGATATCAGTCAGGGCAACAGTTCCATCATGGTATACTGCATAGCGTCTTCATTATTTCAGTTGGTGCAGAACAGTTAGACGTTAAACCTCATTTCATTTCGTTAGAAGATCTTGGCTACTATTAAGATCGTATTTCGTATATAATGTTTACTCCATTAGGCAATTTATACTAACGATACTTTTATAAATTTAATGTTCTGCTGTAGTGTGTGGCGTTTATAGCTGTATATTATCTTTACTATGGATCGCATGACGGGTGTTCATTCATTTTGTTTTTAAATAATTATTGAAATATTTTAACATCACGCAGAAAACTTCGAATTCTACCGATGCACATTTGCTAACCTTAACCCTAAAACTTGTATTTTGTAATAGTACACGTACTTTGTATATTGTGTAAAGATTCTTTTATGTACATGTAGACTATATGTATTTTATGATAGAAGGCCCACAATGTACAAGCTGTCACTTACATACCTGTTTGAAAAGGCTGGATCCATGTTTTTATATTTTGATCGATTAATAATTGGTTGTAATAATGTGTAATACTGGATTCATTTAGTGTGTTAGGACATAATACGCTTATTAAAGAAAGGATTAAATCCGTAGGAGGTGGGAGCACATTGACATTGGTACAAACACAGAGAGAGAGAGAGAGAGAGAGAGAATGAGATGGGGTTTAACGTTCACTCGACACAAACTAGGTCATTTCGGGACTAACAAATGGTTCAATTTTATTTCAACAACTGGTTTACGCGTAGGGGTCTCTAGCAGTGGGGGGAAACCGGAGGACCCGGAGAAAACCCTCAAGGTTGCCACGTACAACCGGGCAATCAAAACCACACCAGTGGGGTCCATGATAAACCTTATGATACAGTGCGCACGTGCTAACCATTCGGCCATCAAACACCCCCCCCCCACACACACCCGGTACAAACAGGTGGCGGATTCAGACCCGGTCGCGGGGGTCCGGTACGCTACACTAAATTACAAATATTGAATGATAAACCTGCATATATTAAAACGTTAGGATTTCTCAATTGTGTTATCAATGGTAAACCAGCCAAATATCAGATGTAATTTTAGCGCCCTTGTCTTTCTATACGTTGGTGTACCAGTAAAAGATCCTTGACAGCTAGAATACGGCGACAAGTAGACGGAAACGCCACAGATCGGGCAAAATGTTCCTGTACTAATTGGTGCGGTTGATGGACAAAAATAGGGTGTTAAACCACGTTTTATTTGACAAATGAGTTAATATACAGAAGGTAATATGCTTGGTGACACGAGTATCTAATGATGCTGGTTGGTGACGCGAGTATCTAATGGTGCTGGTTGGTGACGCGAGAATCTAATGATACTGGTTGGTGACACGGGTATCTAATGATACTAGTTGGTGACACGCGTATCTAATGATGCTGGTTGGTTGTATTAATGGGAGGGCTTGATTGACTTTAAGTATGTATACTAATAACGTATTAATATAGTCAATTATTGAAAATTAGACACATATACTGTCCTGTCTATTGTTAGAACGTGGTAGACAGATAGTCAGATATGTACGTGTCTAAAGATCCTCGTCCAAAATAAACATAAAGCTTTTATCCCAGAAACGGATACGCCATCTTGTATGTATACCGCAACTCAAACAAATTTACTATTTGTCCATTTTTACTTCAGTGGTCCTTCAATTGATTATAAAGTTTGGCTGGTCGATTCAATGAGCAAGAAAACCCGGGCCTTGACCTAAAGATTCTCCCTAATTCAATAAAACAATCGTAAATGCATTAACACGGCTGGATCGAAAGAAATTCGTGGAATTGCAACGTTGTTCGTATCAGGAAAAAATACCCTATTGCGATCTAATCGGCTCTAAAATTGTCTTCCAATATTGAACATTTCTTTATACCAGGTATATTCAATATCGGTTAGGTGATAATATTTGCTTATTATATCAAGTTCAATTCCATTGCACATATGTAATCAATTTTACGTTTCGGGATTAAGTGCTCGTCATAATGATTATCATTCTGCTTTTACTTCCCAGAGCATATTTCAAATATCGAGCCGACCTTCCATTAGCGCAATAGCACTTTCAGGTACATTGTTCCTAAAATTATTTGTTTGTGAGCCAGCTATATGTTAAATCGAAATGGTGGGGGAGGGAGAAAAAAAAACACCTTCTCCACCAGACATAATAGCCTATGGTTATACATATGCCGAAATTAATTTACCGTTTTAAGGAAAATGTCCGAAAATCTATCAAAATTGCGTAATTTGTTTATAAATCGTTTATAAATATATCTCAACCAATTATCTATACCGGCCCAACTGTGAATTTCAATTATATGATATTTGGATTGACCGGTATTGCAAAATTTTGAGAGGTGGGATGTCATGCAAAGGCGTGCTTTGGGCGGAAATCAACGGCTTGGAATATAGTTTATCTGGAATTTTTAATCAGTTTACGGTGTTAGTTAAATATTGTTGCTGGCGTAATTCACAAATAGTGTGTTACTTCACAGTCAACCATATGTGATAGTCTTTTATCTCAATTGTTGGAATATGACGGAAAAGGCTTGTTAATATTTGTGAACAAAGAAAAATGTTTTGTTCCTGGCAGCATAGGATACGTTATATAAAGTAGCATCTGTTATATTGCTTCAATTAGAAGCGAGTGTCATGCGAGGGTAGAGTATACTTAATGTATGTGGAACGCATAATACTCATTTTTGTTATTAAAAGGATACCCATTGTTCCTGACAATAGAGCATCTATCTCGAACTATTAGTTCCTAGTGGAACTATTGTTCCATTATGGTTACATATCCGTCTTTGTATGTTTACCCTGTATGCTGGACCACATACTATATTTTGATTACGATTAATTTGGATTGAAGTGTGGGTTTTATCTCACAGCATCAGATACCTTTTTAGGCATCTTGTAGTTTAAGCCCTGAAAGTTGATACCCAAGTTTAAATACTTGAAAATGACGCTGACAATATTGTTAATGTATTCATGTTTAGACATTTAAAAATCATAATGATACTATTGTTGATACTCAAGTTTAGATACTGATATCAATGTTAATATACCCAAGTTTAGATACTTGATATTTATGTTGATACCCAAGTTTAGATACTTGATATTTATGTTGATACCCAAGTTTAAATACTTGAAAGTCATACTGATACTTATGTTGATACCCAAGTTTAAATACTTGGAAGTCATACTGATACTTATGTTGATACCCACGTTTAGATACTTGAAAGTCATACTGATACTTATGTTGATACCCAAGTTTAGATACTTGAATGTCGTGTTGATACTTATGTTGATACCCAAGTTTATTAAATACTAGAAAGTCATATTGATATTAATGTTGACATCTAAATGTGTAGAAATAATACCATCTGAGCGGTGAGTGGTTTCTCTTACCTCTTTGAAATGATCAAATATATCATTTTATTATATCTATTTGCAGGGTTGATTTGAAATAGCATGATATATCATTATAACAGAGAGGAGGAAATCTGGTGAATGTCTGCAGATAGACACTCGATAAAGGTCGGTTTAATACTCTTTGTGTTTGTTATTTCCAGAGTTAAAATAAAGGTTTAGAACCGACATATTACTTCTTTTTGACACTTAATTATTCCTTATGGCTGACTTTCTTTTTGAAAGTCGTTAAGAAGAAGTTGCTCTACTTGATTATCTAAACTTTTGGCACTCACCTAGTGTAACGTGAAGTCGCTCTACTTGATTATCTAAACTTCTGGCACTCGCCTAGTGTAATGTGTCTGTAATTATTTTCACCTGCGAATAGACATTTGATCACACCTCCCAGTATTTAATATGCCGTGTAGTCTTATCCCTTACAGTTTGAAGCAGCGATGGCTTAGTGACAAGTAGGTCCGAGTTCTGATTCCGGTGTCTGCTGAGAGAGAGAGAGAGAGAGAGAGAGAGAGAGAGAGAGAAGAAAGAGAGAGGAGAGAGAGATTGGGTTTAACGTCCACTCGACACAAACTAAGTCCTTTCGGGACTAACATATGGTTCAATTTTATTTCAATAATTCGCTGGGTCTTTAGCAGCGGGGGGAAAGGAAACCGGAGACCCCGGAGAAAACCCACGAGGCTGGGCAGGTGACCCTACTCCTTTTCATGTACAACCCGGGAATCAAAACTACGCAAGTTGACCCAATGACAGACCTTAGGATACAACGGGTTAACCATTCGGCCATCCCCCCCCCCCCCGTGTCTGTCGAGAAAGTTCCCAGTGATTGCTTAAAGTGGTTTCACCTTCTTTATGGACGGATGTATTTCCCCATCACACACATCAGTGGCAACAGTAAGATTAAATTATTACATGTTAGCTAAGATATGCTGCGTCGTTATTCAAATTTCCGTTCACTTAATTATATACTTGTCACCGAGTTCGAAATCAGAGAATTTTGGACTGTGTGTTAACCTTGGTGATATTCTACCGATTGTTACAAACACGAATTGTTTGGGTTTTTTTGTAAATAAAAATCAATAACTCGCCTGAAAATGTCAAGAAAGGGGACTTTTAAAGAAATATATATTACAAAAAAAACTATGATAGATCCTGTTTTTGAATAGAAACTATTACTTATACGAGTTCGAAATAATGGAGTGCCATGTGGTGCTTTATCGTTAGAATATCGTTCAGATTTGACAAACACGAATTTTGTTATTTTTTTAAATAACGCATTTGAAGATGTTAACAAAAAAAATGTCTTTTTAAAATAAAAAATATGAACAAAAAAATGTCAATAAAAACAAATCGCTTTTTTAAAATAAAATAAAAATATGATAGATTTAATAATTGAATAGAAGCTATTTATTATCGGGTCCAAAATTAGAGATTTTCCGGGTGGTCTTATTTTTATATAATAACCCATATAGCAATGACAAGAAATTGCATTTTTGAAATATAAAAAAGCCTTTTAAAATCTATGATTTATTTTAAAATAAAAAAATAGGAGCAAAAAATGTCGATAAAAAAATCGCCTTTTTAAAATTTAAAAAATAGAAACTATTACTTATACGAGTTCGAAATAATGGAGTGCCATGTGAGGCTTTATCGTTAGAATATCGTTCAGATTTGACAAACACGAATTTTGTTATTTTTTTAAATAACGCATTTGAAGATGTTAACAAAAAAAATGCCTTTTTAAAATAAAAAATATGAACAAAAAAATGTCAATAAAAACAAATCGCTTTTTTAAAATAAAATAAAAATATGATAGATTTAATAATTGAATAGAAGCTATTTATTATCGGGTCCAAAATTAGAGATTTTCCGGGTGGTCTTATTTTTATATAATAACTCATATAGCAATTACAAGAAATTGCATTTTTGATATATAAAAAAGCCTTTTAAAATCTATGATTTATTTTAAAATAAAAAAATAGGAGCAAAAACTGTCGATAAAAAAATCGCCTTTTTAAAATTTAAAAAATATGAAAGATTCAATATTTGAATAGAAGCTGTTTATTATCCAGTTCAGAATTAGAGATTTTCCGGGTGGTCTTGTTTTTATTTAATAACTCACAAGCAATGACAAGCAATCGCCTTTTTTAAATATAAAAAAAAGCTTTTTAAAAGTTATGATTTATTCAATAACTGAATATAAGCTATTAATTATCAATAACTGAATATAAGCTATTAATTATCCCATGTCCAGATCACGGACTTCCAGGTTTTTTTCTTTATCGTAAGGGATACTTTCCAGATGTTACAAAAAAACGAATTGTTCTTTTTTTGATATTTTGATATAACAATTCACTTGAAATTGTCATGAAGTCAATATATATTTGATTGATTCAATATTATTAATCGGTGTTCAATTTATAAATCCATAATGACTTTTCTTTTAGCTACGTGAGCTGAACGACACCGCGGATAGAAATAATAAATTAACGGACAATATTGGTCTCAGCCTTTATCACAGGAAATGAAAACACGAGTTATCCTTCTATATAACTGACTGGAGTAACGAGCGATAACAGATAGACGGGCACATAGCTCCGAGTTTTGAGAGAGAGAGAGAGAGAGTCCACTAGCTCATTTCGGCACTAACAATGGTTCAAATTTTATTTCAATAATATGCTTGCGCGCAGGGGTCTTTAGAAGTGGAAGGGAACTGGAGGACCCGGAGAACACCCACGGGGTAGGACAGGCGACCCTACTCCCTATCACGTACAAGCAGCAAATGAAATGAAAGAGACTAATCAAAACGGGCATACACCAAACAGTTATGTTTGTAAGTTTGTAAGTTATGTGAGGAGTCTGATGAGGATATAAGTCATTTCCTTTTCCAGTGTACAGTTCTGGCGGAACTTAGACAACAGATAATTCCCCAAAACTTTCTCAGAAACTACAGTCAATTCAGTCTAGGCAATCTTTGTAATACAGAGTGCCAAAATTACATAATTGCAATTTCACAGTATATCGATAAAGCTAGTCAATTGAAAAAACGTTGATTGATATTGTTGACATTATTGATATTGTATTTTATTGTTATTGTTGTTACCACCACCATCTTCCCACATTTTTGTTAAATGATATTGTATTATTTGTATCTTTGGGTCCAAGACCTCTAAATACTGAATAAACAAATTATTATTATTATTATTACACCAAACAGTGTGCTATAAGGGTAAATTTTGCCTAGACAGCGGCGTTGTCGTTTTACATGATCTACATTGGCTTCCTATATCACACCGTATCACTTGCAAAATACTTACACTTACCCTACATTACATTCAGATAATTCGTCAAATTACCCTAATTTCCTTATCTCCCTATATACTCCATCCCGTACAGAGTCGGATATCAAATTAACAATTTTCTTACACCCTTTTATCCTTCCATATCTTATGGTAAACGCTCTTTCTCCTAACTATCTAATGGCATTGCCAGTTTTAAACGCAATTTAAAGTAGCTAAGTCTCTAACTCAATATCATCCAAAATCTTCAACATTGAAAACACGATTTATTTGTCAAATTAAATCAACATTCATGTTGTGATCTTACCGGAAAAAGATGGGCCTTTGATATCCAATATTTAAGACAAAATAAACATTTTACCATTGGTACACGAATCGTGTACCATAATGCGCTTCAGTCCCAGTTGTATCAAGAGACTCGAGGGACGAGGCTAGACACATTGCACCAAATCAAACGGCGTATGTAGACTTGAATAACCAGACGCTAGAAATTTGCACTCGCTTGAGACTGCTGGCTTATTTCGCCGAACATAACTGATTTGAAATTGGAGTAAAAACGGAAACCATTGAATGTAAATCAGTTTATTTACATTCATACTACAGTATTATATGTGTTGCGACCTACTCTTGTCAATTTCTAGGTCCCAAATTTTAGCGATTTAGCTCCTTTAAAAACGAACTTTTTCGTTGTCTACTATGGCTTTTAATACACGTATCCGAATTTAGTCTGTTTTAGGCGCTGTTCTATTTTATCCTTTATTACTTTTAGCTATTTTAATTTGTTTGTTGCATGTCATATTTTATTATAATCTTTACTACCATATTTTGATTGTTATCGTATACCATTTTAATTTCTATTATCATTCATTTAATAATGTGCAAGTTTAGTTTATTTTTCTATGTATGATAGTATTTGCTAATTTTTTATGTCCACAAAATGTTAATACCAGGTTCCAACAATCACGATTCCTGCTGCGATTGAAATCGTAGTTTTAATCGTGGAGTAATCCTGGTGATCCTATCAGGTCTTATCATATAAACTGAGGTAAGTCGGAGCAAACGTACCCGAACATCTGTACGTACCAGATCGTGGACTCAATAGGGACAATCCTATCGTAACGCATCGTACGACAGTGGGAACAAAAACATAACTGCCCCATTGGGCAGTATTTGATATTGGTAATAGGCGCATTATAAATAAATTATAATAGAAAAAAACAATTATTATACTCTTCGTTGAATTCCAACTTCCAAGGGGTATTTGGCCTTCATGTCAATTTGTAGATGGGACCGACGCAGGTGTTCCGAAGGACTAGACACTGTTCCTTGCCAGGCCCTCTACTGACGAATCTTGAAGGGCTTTAATCCTTTTTAGTAAGCCAATGCCTTTCCCACTGTGGGCGCCCCAGCCGCTGACACTATAAGTCCGCCAACCATCAACATTAATATTATGACAAATATATGTCTTTATATTTCAGCTGAAACAATATGATGTCCACAAAGATTAGATGTCAAAGACTGCAATTTGGGTTTCTTATTTTAACGTGTATGATACCAAATGGCGTTTTCAGCACCTGTCGCTTTCCGGAGTTCCTTCAACGAGAGCAGCCGTGGGCAGCTGATTATGGGGAGGGGAGATTTGTCGCGTATGTCAAGAACACGTATATGCAGATAAACCAATTGAAAGGGGGAAATGACAGTACTTATGCTAGACGATGTATCGAGGAAACGAAAGGTAATAAATATTTAGTTACCCATGAAGAAAGCCTAAAACCTCCAAAATATATGTGCATGGAATTCTTACAAAGAAGTGAAAACATTGTGCAGCTAAAAGTGTCACGTCAATCTGATCGGCGATCTATTGAACTTTGTGATGAAAGTGGTATGGGATTGGACCATTGGCCGATTGTGCAAATAGCCCAATCACCCGAACAAAGAATTGTGTGTCCGTTTGTAGGGGGGTACAATATAAACATGTATTTTCCTAATGAAACAATGGTTTGTGTGGATAATCTGCTATTAATGCGCATGGAAAGCGAATGTGAGTCGGGAGAGGGGCTTACTTTTGACTTCCGTACCGATAAATGTATCCCAGCAAATCTCCCACGAGAAATCAAACAGCGAGCGTATTGTATCGCACATTGGACGGAGGAGGGCCACACCTTCATTGTCTTGCAACATTCTACGGTGCACAAACATTTTTGGTGCTTACGTATTACTGATGCCTTAGGTGATATCCGCACAGCTTATCTGTTTCTTAATCTGGTCTGCGATCCCAGCGAACCAGTTTTACAGACACTCAACTATTTCCACTTCCGAATGTCAAGGGTCATCTACTCCACAATATGTGCCGACGAACTTGACGGCTGTTCCATTATACAATCATTCTGTCTCACAGATTTCCGACGGCACTGTAGCAAAACGTGTGATTCTTGTGAATATGAGAGTGAATTGGGCTTGTGTACATTTCCCGAACATTTACGCGGCAACTGGATAGAGAGTTCTCGTCAAAATAATCGTAGGATGAGCGTGAAAGAATATTCTCTCGGGTTGCAAAATATTGGGAAGTTTGAATGTCTTAACATTGAAAGCGAGAGTTATGCCGATAAAAGGATATTGCTGGAACTATTTGATAATGGATGCTATCCACGATACGCATGCGTTGATCTGGAGAAGATTGCGCCCTCTGTAATAATCTATCGTCTAGGTAACAGAATTGACTGGCCACTTCCCTATCGTGAAAATGACAAGGACTATTTATGTAAAGCGGACAAATTCAAAGACCGGAATACGAAATATGCGAAAGAGCGACCTCCCAAAATTTTAATTCATGCTGATGTCCTTCATCCGGTGAGCTGCGGTCTTCCCGCGAAACTTCAATACGGTATCTCATTTAAGGAGGATGGAAAATTATGCGGCGGATGTCTATATTACAGCCCGTATAATGACGCAGATAAAATATATATTCAGCCTGTCAACTGCTCAGTGGATCCTTACCCATTAGAATATAATTGCCTGGCATCGTTTGATTTCGGAAACAGAACGCACGCTGTCGTGACAAAGACGAGTATCCCCGGAAACTATGGGGAGTACTTATGCTGGGTTTTCACGATGGATAAAAAAATTAAGGTGATTAAATCGGCAGATTGTTATGAATTTGAGAACGAGTTTGCTGACCCAGAAGGACTCGAGGCTCAATTTTCTATAATGGATGTCGCTGAAGAGTCACCTAATAATTTATGTCGGAATTTAGTTTTTGCACCTCGGACAACTAGTGCCCGACACGTGAGTAATGGAACGACAATTATGCCAAAAGTGCTTTATACTATCCTTGAACCAGAAAAACCAAACGCTCAAACGGAACATAGTAGCGAGATGGATGCCAAGGCGGTTTACGATCACAGAAACTTAGGCCATGCGTTACAATCAAATGTATTAACAACTAAAATCATTTTACTAATTGCGTTAATTATTCTAGTGGCGAGGACTTAACGTTTTGAGATTTGTTTTAACTATGAGCGAAGATTGTGATATTTCTTGCGTGACGGAAACAAGTGGACGTACGGGAACGTTGATTTTTTTCTTCTGGTAATGAAGGAAAGGGCGTGTCTGTGTTCTAACACGCCAGATTAAAAGAGATTAGATGGATGGATTGTATAAATAAGACAATATTTTAAGGCGTGTGCTTCCAGTTATCAAAGTACTCTCCAGCTTTGGAAGAGTTTATATAAGAGTAGACACTTTGTTGTGTACATAACGGGCAAATGGCCATATTTATGTTGTAGATGATATTACTTACCAACATAAAAGGACGTCTGAGAATATGAAAATTTTACAATATTTGTTTTTGCAGTGTTTTTAAAATTAAGTAGAACTTTTACGGTTTAAATGTCGAACATTGGAAAAATAACAATAGCACATATGAATAATATATTAACTTTAATGCTAGGTTCCAAAATATCACGATTCGTGCTACGATTGAAATCGTGGTTTTAATCGTGGAGTAATCGTGGTGATTCTATCAGGTCTTATCATATATTGAGGTCAGTCGTAGCAATCAGCTTGGTCGTATCGAAGCCTATCCGAACTCAATAGGGACATTCCTATCCTGACGCATCGCTCGACAGTGAGAACTTGGCATAAGCAGATTTCTTTGGTTTGGCGCCTTATCACTGGCGTCATATCCATGTTTGGAGACTTATCACTGAAATCACAGCCATGGTCCATAATATGTAGGTTACTTGGAAAATATAAAAGATATTTTGAAATTGATTTTTTTTATCATTCTTGATACTGTAGGGATTACGTGCAATATAGTATACAGAAATAGATACATGTTTTTCATTTTAAGTGTTTGTGATCACAAGAAGATTGAGTAAAAAAAGAACCAGTTAGTATAGGAGTATATTTATACGTACGCGTTAATTCTTCATTAGACGTCAACGTAACCCCAAAACGCTAATCTAGTAAAACTATTTCGTTTTGTTTTCGTGGATATAATTTTGTTTACTCTCGTAAAATATAGGGAATATCTAATGAAGAAAAACTGTTCAAAACAACAGGTTTTTAACAGATTAGGGCTCGGCATGGGAATATATATTTCCATCATGTGGAAAAACCCCCCCAACAAATTGAGAAAAAAAGTTAAATTATTTTCTTTTCGATCTCGTTAAGCTAAAGTTTGTCTAGAATCCAAACTGCTCGAATATAGTATATCATAAAGTGTATAATATATAGCTTGAATATAGTATATTGAAAAGTGCATAATATATAGCTTTTTGTAAGATATCTGTAAATAAAATGTATAATTTGTAGCACAACACAGTTCAGTGGATAACAATCACTATATTGTATACACACGACGTTTCCACAAGAGCAATCTAATTAAACCAGAAATCTACATTTCGTTTCGTTTCTTTATACAGTGAAGACAAGTAAAACGAAATTTTGACCTATAAAAACGAAACGAAATAGGGTCTGTGTTTTAATCAGATTGCGACAAAAGTTGACTTGTCGTTTCAAGCAAAAAATTACAAATACTCACAGTGATTGTTATCCAAATGTGTTGTGTTGTGTCATGTTCAATCGCTAAATGCCATTCATGTATATCATTGTTGTTCGTTTTTTCCCGTTCATTCCAAATTAATTTTTAAGATATATAAATATTTTCTTTTCGTATATTTATTAATATTATATACCGGTATGTAAATAGATCGAAGTTAATATCCGTTTGTTTGTTAAATATTTAACGATTGTTCTTTTTTTAAATTATAAATCTTTATTATTATGAGCGTAAATGAGACCCTTGCGGTTGACTTAGCGATTACTTGATCGATGAACTAACTTTAACTCGGACTGGCAGAATAGTTACTAATCTATTTGGGCGACAAGTATTTTCTCACGCTTTGAAATGTCGACCAAATAAATTACTAATTGTTTTTCCATAAGTACGCGTTGCTATATTCAGTTAACAAATGCCCGTAGAAGATTACTTAATAAACTATAACACGTACTTATGGAAGAGCAATTACTAATTTATCGGGGCGACGAGTATCTTCTCACTTAAAAACTTTGAGAGAGTACGCTTCGAAATGACGGTAAAAAAAATCAGTAATTGTTCTTCCATAAGTAAGCGTTATAGTGTATGGCTATATCCTGTTGATAAATGCCTCTAGAGAATTACTTAATACACTAAAACACATACTTCTAGAAGAACAATAATCGGGACAACGAGTATTGTCTCACTTGCTTCCAACAGTTGAGAAAATACTCTTCGAAACATCGGCCAAATAAATTAGTAATTGTTATTCCATAAGTATGCGTTATAGTGTATGGCTATATCCAATTCATATATGCCTCTAGACAATGACTAATTTATCGGGGCAACGAGTATTGTCTCACTGGCTTGAAAAAGTTAAGAGAGTACTCTTCCAAACATCGGCCAAATAAATTAGTAATTGTTCTTCCATAAGTATGCGTTATAGTGTATGGCTATATCCAATTCATAAATGCCTCTAGAGGATTACTTAATACACTAAAACATATACTTCTAGAGCAACAATTACTAATTTATCGGGACAACGAGTAATTGTCTCACTGGTTTGAAAAAGTTAAGAGAGTACTCTTCCAAACGTTGGCCAAATAAATTAGTAATTGTTCTTCCATAAATATGTGTTATAGTTTATTACTCTGTCCAATTTGTAGATGTCTCTAACCTATTATGATGATTACTTAATCTCTATAATGATGCTTGTCTGAGAAGTGTTGGATATCAAAACATGCATATTAAAAGTTGTGACCACGATCAACGATAGTTTATGGGTTGTTTTTAGATAATATTATTTTAAAGTGAAACTTTTTATTCCGTGTAAATATCGTGTGTAATATATTCTGTTCCATTCTTAAATAGAACATAACATGTATATACTCCATATCAGTGTTCGAAATTAAAGTCCTGTACATGTATGTTTGATTAATCATATCAATTTTATCATTTATTAATTATTTTCTTTTAATTATTGTTCGATATTTATCGATAAATCGATCAATGCTTCTCTGGTTTCCAAGTTGTCTGTCTCTAGTCTTATGGCTTAGGTTAAACGTGCCAATATATACAGTTAATATTAATATTATAGTTGCGGTATGTACGTAGACTTGTGTATATAAGATAGAAAGGAGTAGAATTAAATCATTAGCTACGTAAAGGGTATGTTAAGATAATTTCATTATTTAGTCAACCCGAAACCTTTTGTTGTCGACCGAGAGAATACTATAATAAACTAGATAACAGTGGGTATAAATAGCTTCTTGGAAATTTCACAATAAATTGACTTTATAAAGTTAATTTGTACATGCTGAAATATTCAGTTTGTGGACGGAGTTTATTTTATAAATGTTATACATTTTATAAATCTTGAGCGGTCTACTCTTATATCGAATTCCAACTGCCAATGGATCGTTTACGTGCATGTCAATGTGTACACGGGATCTCGTTTTTTCGTCAATCCGAACGACTATACGTTGTCCCTTGCCAGGCCCTTGGTCCGGCACCACTGACAAGGGGGAACCGCGCCGGAAATTCCACGCAGAGATCGAACACGATTTTTTATGTTAGCGAGCCAACGTCTTACTCACTGAGCCACCGTAGCTCCCATGAAAACGTAACTTAGCCAATATACGATAAGTTTCAGCACAAGATAATAGAGAGAGAGAGAGAGAAATGGGGTTTAACGTCCACTCGACACAAACTAGGTTATTTCGGGACTAACATATGGTTTAATTTTATTTCAATAATTCGCTTGCGCGTAGGGGTCTTTAGCAGTGGGAGGAAGCCGGTGGACCCGGAGAAAACCCACGAGGTTGGACAGGCGACCCTACTCCTTGTCACGTACAACCGGGGATTCACAAGATAATAAGTGGCGGTTTGAGTTCTAAATATTCCCCAATTTCATCACATACTGCTTCAAAGATTTCTATTTTTTTTTTCAGCCTATACCCAGTTAAAGAGATAATAGGTGTGGAGTTAGGCTTATATTGTTGACCCTCCGTTCTTAATTATATGTACTATAATGTATAGTGATTGATATTTTCTAATTAAATTAAATATTTCTTTAATTTATATAATTATACTATAATAATAATTGTATTATAATAACTTGTTGTTTATGTTGTCTGTGACAACTTTAAAATGCTTTATATCTTGTATCTGTCATTTTTTTCTTACCAATAAATATGTTTCTGTTTACGATTGGTTTTAGTTATTTCTTAATGTCAAAGGAATACAGGGCGATGTTAGTCTTGACGCCATTTGGAAATGAAATAAAATGGTTTAACGTCCTACTGTTCTGCTCAGAACCGGGCTAATGAAGACGGGCATACGCCATACAGTGTGCCATGAGGGACATTTTGTCCAGACAGCGACACTACGGCCTACTCTTATATCAAATTCCGACTGTCAATGGATCTTTTACGTGCACGTCAATGTGTACACGGGACCTCGGTTTTTCGTCCCATCCATCCGAAAGACTAGACAGCTCTCCTTGTCAGGCCCTCTGCCCTGCATCACTGACAAGGGGAAACCACGCCGGAAAAGCTGGATGAACTTTCTCGCCCAATGCAGGGATCGAACACCCGACCTCCAGGCTTAGCGAGCCAGCGTCTTACCAACCTAGCTACCGTGACCCCGCAAAGCCTTTTGGTGGAAATGTGGCCGTATAGTGTCGCCATCCCCGTCTTAAGACTCTCTAGAACAGTGTTTTCAAAATGGGGGAATGAGCAGTTAAAAATTGTACTGGCATGAGGGAGGAGTACAAAAATGTGGGAATGAGCAGATCAAAGGCGTGATGAAGAATGAAATGTGAGGAGAGCGAAAATGGGGATGAAAAAAACCCACCAAAAAACAAGAAACAGTAAGAACATTACCGTGTGCTTCCACAAACTAAGTGATGCCACTCATTTTGTCGCCAGTTTTTTGCTTCTGTTTCCACAATAGTAACACCGCAGACAAAGTGATGTACCCTTTACTTTATGGGAAGGTCTGTTTATGAGTGTGTCTACTGTCATGATGTATCAAGGGGGGTAAGGCAGAAATGTACTTTCAAACTACATGTATTCACATTTTGAGTGGGGTTTTTTTTACTAAAAAAAGAAATTAAATAAATTTATCTATTGGGAAGCACTTTAAAGGCCTTAAATTGAGATACCTATATCCCGCTATTTATATAGAAAGCCAAGATTAATCTGTCGTGGAGGGCTTCGAATGATAAACTTTCATTGTTTGCGGATAAGAAATGAAATGAGATGGGTTTAACGCCCTACTGTTCTGTTCCGACCAGAATACTGAAATAGTGTGTGCTGTGAGGGAAATTTTGCCTGGACAGCGGCATTATGGGCTGTCGAATTCCAACCGCCAAGGTATATTTACGTGCACGTCAATGTGTACATGGGACCACCCGAACGATTATACACTATCCCTTGTCGGGCCCTCTGTACAGCACCACTGACAAGGGGGAATCACGCCGGAAAATGCCGATGAATTTTCTCGGACAATCCCAGTGATTGAACACAGGACATCCACGATAGCGAGCTAACATCTTACTCACGGAGCTACCGCGGCCCCCTATTGCCCGTAGAAAACGTTGTATTGTAAAAAATGAAATGACATAAATAACTTGAATGTTGTTAGGAGTTTCCGAATCCTGTACAGTGTCTTCTTAGGACGTTAAACCCCATTTCATTTCATTACAGTGTCTCCTTAAATAGAACAAGTTCGACTCCATCATGAACAGCAGCTGATTCCTGTCACAGACGAACTGTCCATGATAACAAGAGAGAGAAGGCAGCGTGTGCGGCGATTAGATTCCGTATGGTTAGTTGGGGAAGCTATATGTTTTCAAAAGTAAAACGTCTGGCCAGGAAAAGAACTTTTGGTCATTTTAAGACATGTTTCTGGTATAATACTTCATGTAATAAAAAATGAAAAAATTGTTTGTTCCAGTCGTTTGAATCAAGCTTGGTAAGCATAAAAGAACTTGGATATATTCATATTTATATTTCGCCTAGTATCACGCATGTTGGTCTGACAATTAAGAATTTCAAGTGAAGTAATGTGCAATTATGTCTTGGTCCAATTAAAATACACCCGTCATGTAACCATAGCATCTTCCTCATAGACATAACTGCATTGCAGACGTTAATGGAATTCTTAAGTTTATATTTTAATCGATGGAATATCAGTCGCCATACATGTGCAAATACATAATTAGATCAATTAAAATTCTACCAGACAAAAATAAGGGAAGTTACGCCCTCAATTGTAGTTATTCATCGCAATAAAAATAAACCAAAATATATGTCAACAAATTATTCTTATCGCGGTACAAACAAACTGAAATGCATTTCACCAAAGTATTCTTATCGTGGTACAAACAAACTGAAATGCGTGTCACCAAAGTAGTCTTAGTGACTTTATCTTAAAGTGATAGTTTATAAACTGTCGTCAGAGTTTATCTTAAAGTGATAGTTTAGAAACTGCCGTCAAATTATTTACAGAGTTTATCTCAAGGTGATAGTTTAGCAACTGCCGTCAAATTATTGACATACCTTACCTTAAGGTGATAGTTTAGCAACTGCCGCCAAGTTGTTCTGACTGGCTTTATCTATATAATAGTTTAAAAATAGATAATGAAAACTGGATATATTGAAAATCTCAGTCAAATTACTTTATTCCGAGCGACGTTATGATTGCTTGAAGTTTTGAAAATAAAACCTTAATTGTCTCGATTGTCAAGTATCATTGCTACGACAATAAACGAAAGACTCGATTATTCATTTTAACTTTTAACGAAGGTATGGCAGACATTGTCTTATCCACTTAATAGTTAAGCCACGCGATGAACTATAGAGTTCAGCATGTGCTTGCCACGTGAATAAATGTCTAATAATAATAATAATAATAGTTTATTTTCAATAAGTATTCAGGCCATGGGCCCATGATCAAGACAAGATCATAACATTACAAACATAACAAACCAACACTATTTACACAGATTCATCATAATCATAACCTCACATTATATTAGGATTTCATTATTTTAGTTTACTCAAGTAATTTTCTCTTCTTTTCATAGTATTATAAATAAACTTACTTATGTTACAGATTATATCACAATTTGTACTCTGTAAGTATCCTTTAACACGAATCTCACTCTTACAGTAATTATTGACATTGCAAATAAATGTCTAAATAACCCTTAATAGTCTCGATTGTCAAGTATCGTTGCTATGATAATAGCGTTTAACGAAGATATGGCAGACGTTGTCTTATTCACTTAGCCACCCGATGCCATAGAGAGTTCATTAAATGTCGAAATAATATTTTTATATATATTATTTGGATCGTTTAGAGACTATATCTAAACTACAGGAAAGCCATCTTTCTTGCTGAAGAAGTTATAGACGAGCTATGAATGGAAAATACTATTATGAGTAGAGTCGTCACTTAGCGATAGGCCAAAATGTGTACCCTAGCTATGCGCTGCACATACGGTAACCACGAATAGTCGTCGGACAGATAAGGTTGACTTTTTTCTTTTATTTATTCAACCGCACTAATCACTTTCAGTCTATAATTTTATTCTTCTGGGTCATAAGAAATATCACACTTTAGTTTAAAACAAGTTTCAGTTGATCTTATTAATTTCCAGGGAAGACTTTAAATGATTTATCAGTTTTAAATTATGATATTTAAAATATTATAATCAAGGGGTTTAACATCTTATCTTTCTGCACGAACCAAGCTAATGAAGACGGGCATACGCCATGCAGTGTACTATGACGTCGACCAAAGATGTTAGTGCCAAAGGGTCGAGAAACTACTTGAATAACTAATGTTTGTCAAACACGCCGACCCCAGTAAAATACTAATAACAGAACACGGTTTTATGGGAAACAGTCACTAGTTTTATTCTAAAAGCACCTAATAGATTTACTCACGCGCTTGAATACTTGTTGCGTGTAAGATCGTAAATATAAATAAAGTTTTTATCAATAATGCATATTCGTGAGAATTTGGGCTCTCATTATATATCAATGGAAAACTATTCCAGGGTCGGTTGTCTACCAATAAAGCTTGCCTGAACAATATGTTCAATATGGGTTCTGTGAGTGATAGCTCGCAACTTATCCGTGACATTGGCGGCACGTTAGAGATCCCTGCCATTTGGACATAGAAATAGTTTTCCGGGCAAAGTTTCCCTCGCAGAAACTGTTAACTGTTCTAATAATACATGTACTACTGATTAATTGACGATTGTTAGATTGATTTTACTTTTGGACAAGTCAGCCACACATAACGGAGCCAGAATGATGACACTGACCCAATGCCGCACTTTGACACAAAATGATTTCCCAAAGTGCCGAAACAGAACTTACTTCACGGAAAGTTCTTAATTTGTTCAGAACCCACTTGGCTACTGTCTATATTGTGTCCACTGTTTACTGTACAGTAAATTACCCCCACTGCTCTGTATAAAAATTACAAAAGCAGTGGGACACTACCATGATGTCAAGTGAAAATCACACTCTTAGTGTACTGTTTGAGAGATGGAAAGTAGCATATTTAGGAAAACATCAGACTTTAACACACAGAACAGAGAAAGGCGTTCACGTATTCAAACAGTTTAAGATCATCTCACTCACTGATTAGTAGATTGCAATCTGTATATTCAGTGAGGACTAGTTTAATAGTTCAAAATCAACCCAGTCAAGTTAATACACCAATCTTTAAATCATCTCAGTCTAGTTAGTAGACCAATCTGTATTTAGTGAGTACTAGTTTAACAGTTTAAAATCAACTCAGTAGCATGACTCTTTAAAATCATCTCAGTCTAGTTAGTATATCGATCTGTATTTAGTAAGTACTAGTTTAACAGCTTAAAATCAACTCAGTAGTTAGTAGACCAATCTCTATTCAATGAGTACTAGTATAGCAGTTTAAGATCATCTCAGTCTATTTACTAGATTGATCTGTATTCAGTGAGTATTAAGTTTAACAATTTAAATCAACTCAGTTTAGTCAATAGATAAATCTGTATTTGATGAGTACTATTATCTATTATCTATATATATATTTGTGACTGTCGTTTGTCTGTCTGTCTGTCTGTCTGTCCGGGGTTGGCGGCTACACTAGGTCTGCCCCGAGTCTGAAATTTGGGGTATAGGGGTAGCTCGGACCGGGGA